ATTGGGAATTAGGAGCCTAAATACCTTTAAGGATCTGGGCTGTTGTTCTCAAACCCACCTCTCTCCTGCAGTAAACTCCTGCTCTCCCCTGAAGAATTAAACAAGAAAACATCCGTCCCTAGCTATTTTGGTGCCCTACGCAGCCCCCCTGCGGGGGGGCTGTGTAGGGCCCTAGGCCTCCACAGCAGGTTGGCCCCAGGCCTCCGCGGGCAGGAACAGGGGGGTGGGCTGGCTGGCCCCAGGCCTCCGTGGGGGGGAGGGCGGGGCTGGTCCCAGGTCTCCGTGGGGGACGGGGGCTGGCCACTTCCTGCGGGAAGTGGAGTGACCCGGGCCCAGCCTGCTCTGCTCCCCTGGCTCCCAGCCATGCTGCCGGCGAGTGCTGGGGGGGCAGTTCCCCCTCCCCCCAAGCCTGGGAGCCAAGGGAGCGGAGCAGGCTGCGACCGGGTCACTCCACTTCCCACAGGAAGTGGCCAGCCCCCCACGGAGGCCTGGGACCAGTCCACGGAGGCCTGGGGGCCAGGGCCCCAGCCTGCTCTGCTCCCCTGGCTCCCAGGCTTGGGGGGAGGGGGGAACCGCCCCCCCCAGCACTCGCTGGCAGCGTGGCTGGGAGCCAGGGGAGCGGAGCAGGCTGGGGCCGGGTTGCGCCACTTACCATGCTGGCTGCAGTCTTCAGGGGAATGGGGGCAGGGCTGGGGCGGAGCAGGGCGGGGGCGGGAAGAGGCAGGGCTGGGGTGGAGCAGGGCCGTGGGCCGTGGGGGAGAGCCGGAGCAGGGGCTGGAGCAGGCACCCAGTCAGACCCGGAAGCAGAAGGACTTGGGAAGCGGCGCCGACTAAGTATGACAATTAAAAAGATGCCACTTTTGGGGAATGTGGTCAGGGGGAGCGGCCGCTCCCCTTGCTCCCCCCAGCTACGCTACTGCCGTGGATCACCACTTTGAGTAGCACTGGTGTAGAGCGACTGTTTTTGGCTTTAAAGTTAATTTTAAATGATTTGCGGCAGGCTATGAAAGATGACTTGATTGCTGCAATAATTTTTTACAGAATGAATTATGAATGATTCTAGTTTGTATCATTGTTGATGACATTTAAATTGTTTTAAAAGTCTGAATAAAAATAATGTTTTTTCAAAATGACAGTTTGCACTTTTTATTTAGTTAAAAATTAATTTGAGTTAGAGTGCGGTGCGGAGTTGGAGCGGAGCTGGAGCAGTCACTATCGGTGCCGGAGCGGAGCAATTCAAAAATTTGATTGCTCCAAATCCCTGGTTACATCTGAATGACCTGGGAGTCCATTTAGCAAAGTACATGCAGTCCCTGTTTCAGGGATAAATTACAAAGAAGCATTTCACATAGGGAATGGGTGGGGAACACAGCTGACAGATTGGGAGACTTTCAGGTTAGAGCAGGAGAAATTGGGGTTAGTAGACCTGGATTCTATTGCTGATTGAGTTGGGGGTCATGTCTCCAGATCTGCATGCAGAAGAGCACAGGCACCAACTTTTTTCTGTGCCGGTGGGTGCTCGCGCCCCTGGCTTCGCCCCGATGCCACACCCCTGCCCCAAAGTCCCCGCCCTAACTCCGCCCCTCCGTGCCCCTATTGGACCCCTCCCTAAATCCCCGCCCCGACCCTGCCTCCTCCCCCAAGCGTGCCACGTTCCCCCTCCTGCCCTCTCCCTCCCAGCCTTGCTGCGCCAAACAGCTGTTTCGTGCCGCAAGCGCTGGGAGGGAGGGGGGAGAAGCAGGACGCGGCGGCGTGCTAAGGGGAGGAGATGGAGGCGGAGCGGAACCGGGGGGGTGAGGCGGGGAGCTGCCAGTGGGTGCACCCACAGAGTCGGTGCCTATGGAGAAGAGACCCTCTGCATGTGTATTTCTCCTCTCCCATGCAGAAGCTAAGTCAAACAACTTTCTCCATACCCCAAAGAGCCCCTGGGGCTTGTCTAGGGATCTGTGCAGGAAAGGGGTGCAGACTGGAAGGACCAGGATAGGGGATAGATATAAATCCTCCTCCTGCCTCAACAGAGTTTTAGGAAAGATAATAATAGGGGAGCAAATCCAAGTCCCTGATGGAACAATTTGAGGGAAGTCTCATGGAGATATATTCCCCCTGAGCCTTCGACCATGGGCTTTTTCTTTCCTGTGTGAAAAGGAGATTATGACAATGTCCATTTCTGCACAGCTCTGGGAGCTCCTTAGATGAAAGGTGCTGTATCAGTACAAAGCATTAGCTAAGATATCATGCCAGGTTTCCCACACATAGTTATATTTATTTGTATTGCTGCTTCATGTGCATTAACTTGAAATCCCTTCTAAAGTGCAATGTTATCAAGAAGCATGATAGACGGGGAGGGGAGGGTGAGATAATATCTTTTATTGGACCAACTGCTGTTGGTGAGAGAGAGACACTTGAGTTTACACAGATCTCTTCTTCAGGTCTGGGAAACTAACTCAAAGTTATAAACACACCTTTTGCTATCATCATCATGGCAAATCTCAGGGCTTTGCAAAATCCCAACAAAGCCACATTTTTTTTACTTTTTATAACCCATATGCACATTAGAAGACACCAATTTTATTCTATATACAGTTTATATCCCAAATACCCTTGTTCTTTTATGGATTTCCCCCCCAAAGTCTACTAAAGACAACAGCCCAAAACAGCATTTACAATCTCTTGTTTTAATCAGTGTGTCAGAATGTGTTCTGTTCTGTCTACAGAATATTGCATGGGTGTAGTGTCAGAGTCCCATCCCAGGGTGGTGCTGCATGCATAATTTTTTCCAATGTTTTTTGATGTAGAAAGAAAATGGGATAGGATGTCAGAGTTATTACAAAAAAGGTGAGTTTCTGGTGCCCACAGCTACCAAGCTTGATTAGTGAATTGTGTGAGCATATTGAATCCTCAGAGCAGAAATAACCCTTAATGCGTCTTTAGTCTCCAGCAGCTGAATTTCCTTAATGGGACAAAGTGGCACATTATCCTTGTCTACACACACAAATTATACCACTTTAACTATACTGGTATAGTTAAAGTGGTATTACCTCCTACTGTGGAAACAATTATAGTTGTATAAAGATGCCTTACAGTGATATAGCTATTCCCAAAGAGAAGGGGAATAAGCTATATTTGTATAAGGAAGATATATACTAGTATAACTGTGTTCACGTTAGAAGTTATACTGATTAAATTATTTCAGTAAAAAAATCACCCCCAAAGGAAAATAGATATACTGGTACAAAAACTGTGCAGACAAAGCCTTAGATAAAGTCATATTTTTTTCTCATTAGAAACCATGCTAAGCCTAATATATTGGACATCTGATGTTTTTATAGATTTAGCTGATATGTAAAATTTGTGGTTACATATAAAGGGTTTTATTCACACTAGGCTCTTTAATACTACTCTGACAGTGTAAAAGGCCTTGAAGCAGATGGAAATGCCCCCCTGAAGATCATCTCACTCTGAGGGCCTTCCTGACTAGTATAGAGCTGAATAAGGGTTCTACATCACTGTTGCTAACTCTTGTGATTTTGTTGCGAGTCTTGTGGTATTTTGTATTTTTCTTAAGACCTCAGCTCCTGGAGTCAACTAATTGTATAGGAATCTCAGTTTCATTTTTAAAAAGTAAGTTTCTAGTCCTCAGAGTTGCACTTGAAAAAGTGACCTGAGTGCACCCTAAGGATTCAGTAGGAAGACAAATAAAAAGAATCCAACTTTATTATTTTAAAAAATCTCTTGATTTTAAAGCCAATCTCATGATTTTTCGACATCTGGCTCATAGTTATTGAACCCTTCAGGCTGATGATATTACTACACTGGTCCTCCTCCCTAGAATGCACTGCACTACACCTTCTCTTTAGGTCCAAGGATCAATAGGGCCCCGAGGCCTCTCGAATTTACACATGAGGTACTCATTGGCTCATCTGTTGTCCATGCTTCCCACCTACAGTATCCTCAAATCTCCCACATAAGATTGCAATAAATCTACTGACACCTTAGGACTTGGGTTGCCAGGTGGTCCGTTTTTGACTGGAATGTCTGATGGAAAAGGGACCCGGGCGGCAGTGCAGAGGGGCTAAGGCAGACCCCTGCCTGCCCTCACTCCGTGTGGCTCCCGGAAGCGGCCGGCATGTCCGACTCCTAGGCACAAGGGTGGCCATGGGGGCTCCGTGTGCTGCCTCTGCCCCGAGTGCTGGCTCCGCAGCTCCCATTGGCCGGGAACTGCGGCCAATGAGAGCTGAGGCAAGGACCTGCGGGTGCGGGCAGCGCGCAGAGGCACCTGGCCACACCTCCACCTAGGGGCCACAGGGACCTGCTGGCCGATTCTGGGACCCACCCTGAGCCCCCTCCTGCACCCTAACTCCCTCCCAGACCTCGCACCCCTCGGCCCCACCCCTCAGCCCAGAGCCCCCTCCTGCACTCCAAACCCCTCATCCCCAGTCCCACCCCAGAGCCTGTACCCCAAGCCGGAGCCTTCACCGCTTCCTGCACCTCAACCCCCTGTCCCAGCCCTGAGCCCCCTCCTGCACCTGAACTCCCTCCCCGAGCCTGCACCCCCTACAGCACCCAACCCACTGCCCCAGTCTGGAGCGCCTTCCTGCACCCAAACCCCCCATCTCCAGCCCCATCCCAGAGCCCACACCCCCAGCTGGAGCCCTCACCCCCCCATTCTGAACCCCTCAGCCCACCCCCCATCCCGGATCCACCTCCCGCATCTCACACCCCTCGTCCCTGGCCCCACCCTACAGCCTGTACCCCCAGCAGGAGCCTTTCCCCCCTTCTGCAACCCAACCCCTTGTCCCAGCTTGGTGAAAACGAGCAAGGGCGAAGGAGATCGAACGAGGGAGGGGGGATGGAGTGAGTGGGGGCGGGGCTTTAGAGGTGTGGGGGCAGGGGGCGGAGTCATGCTGTTTGGTTTTCTGCAATCAGAAAGTTGGTAAGCCCAGGGCACATAGGAACATGCATGCACACGCCGTAAAAACAAGCACGGTTCACACAGCAATTTGCATAATATCTGAATACTGATTTCCATAATTTGCATACAGCTTCGCAGGGCGCTGGCTAGCTCGGGGCACCAGCAACCATTTCGCTTTCATGCAGCCCTTGATGCACAGGAGGAACTCGGTGCAGAGCCTGCCCCCGCCGCAGCAGCCTGAGCGCGCTCCGCTCTACTACCCCTGCGCCAACTCGGTTGGCGGCTGTGTGGGGGCGCACGCCGAGGAGAAGGCGGGGCGGGGTTCGAATGCGCGCGCCGCAGCCTCCCCCCTCCAGGAGCAAAAGAGGCTTCAACCGTAGCTGGAGAAAGGCAGCAGTGGTGCGAGCCTGGGAGTCTCGGACCCGGCAGCACAGCAGGTATCGTGTGTGGGGAGGCTGCTCTTTTCCCCTCCTCCTCTCACAGCCAGCGCCGTGGCCTCCGTTGCCCGCTTCATGGGCTACCGCAGCAGCCACGGGCTCCGCCCCACCGTGCAGCGCCCCCTGTGGGCCCCCAGTTTTCGCGGGTTCCAGCGCCCCCCCACCCCCACAGGGCTCCCCATTTCCTGGGCTCCCTCCCCCCTTGCTGGGCCCCTGGGGATTCCCCGCCCCGTTTAAGGGGTTTGTGCTTTTCACGCTGTCCCGTCTTGGAGCTTGCACCCCATTTTAGTCCTCCCCGACCTATTTCTTCCATTGGACACGGGCTGGTGTCATTGTGTGGCCAGCAAAGCAGGCCGGGGCTCCTTCCCGGAGCTGTCCATCCCTCCCGGCCCATCAGGGTGTGTGTGTGCAATCGGGCGTGGTGTCGCCGTGTGTGTCCCTAGAGAGGTGGTGAATCCGGATTCTTACAGAACAGCCTGCATGGCATGTAGTGAGTGGTGGTTTCGTTTCTTGCCTTTGGTTTTGTATTACTATCAACCCCCTGCATAGGTTGCGGACAGGGTTTGCAGGAAAGGAATGCACTGGGCTGAAAAATGCAAGCACACTGGCCTGCTTTTTTAGGTTAAACGCTGCATCTTTGCCCAACGGAAGGGGGTTTTGCGTTTGTCTGCAAGAGGAAGGGCTCTTTATGAAATGACCTTGCTGATGCTGGGGATGGGGAAACCTAGGCAGTTGTTCATTTCTGCTGTATCCCTTGTCACCTATCACGGGGGAGTCCATCTCCCTGCTGTCGCTGTTAAAATCCAGATGTTGCTTTTCAGAATATCTAAATCATTATTTTATGGCTAATGATTTTTAGTAATGAACTGTAAGGTTTTTTTTAAAGTGTTTTTATACTATATTACTACTACTGCTTATTTGGTAGTTGCCTGTGATCTCTAGATATGATTTGTTTGTGGAAGGGCTAATGTTTCTTTAATCTGTTTGCCTCTTTTCCCAGTGAAACAAAATCTAGCTTTATTTCCTTTAGTCTTTGATGGAGTTGATTATGCACGTGACAAAGCTCTTTATTTTTTCCCTTTGGTTCATTGTGTTCTGCTGTGAGAGTGGAAGCTTTAAATTCCCTTCTGATGATGATTCCCTCAGTGCCTCGCTGAACGATACCTATTAAGTGCCTCTTCAATAACTTGTTTTTTTCTCAGTGATCAAATGGATTGACAGAAGAGGTGAATCTTTATGTAGAGAAACTTTTGATCTAAGTTTGTTACTGGGTATTTGATTGCTTTGTAGCTCAAATAAGTTTGAGTTCCCCTTGCCAAAACAACCTCAGTACCATTTTTCATCATGCAAGTGGGCTGTAGTCCACGAAAGCTTATGCTCTAATAAATTTGTTAGTCTCTAAGGTGCCACAAGTACTCCTGTTCAACTTTTAAGTAGTACTGTTTAAAGTGAATTCAGTTCACTTGTAGCATCCTTTTGTTCAAAGCATTTAGAAACAATACCTCAGTCTAAACTTTAAATGTTCATCTTGTGTATAGATAATCAAGGGGGAAAAGGCAACACGAACTTAAACAAACAGCCCCCTCCCCCACATTCTTTTTCCTGTAGAAATTAAGTACTGTTGTTAAAAATAACATAAGGTAAGCAAGATATTAGAAGGAAAACAATTTTCTGTTTTTTCCCAGTTTGTTTACTTTATGCATTTGACTGCACTTTGTGTAGTCTTTTTCACTGTTTCCTCTATATAGTTCGGCAGTTTCCCTTGTTTTTTGTGGGTCTTTCAGGCAGCTCCAGAGGCGTGATGAGAGAGAGAGAACTTGACTGTAAAACCACAAAAATTGGCTTGGATTCTCAGTACAGATGTAGCACCTGAAACCGTGTCAGTGTGTGTTTTAATTGACTAGAATTCAAGTTGGTTGTAACTTTTTTTTTTTCTTCCCACAATAAAATGGATGTGGCCAGAATTAGCGCCTGTGTGTGTGTGTGTGTGTGTGTGCTTGCTTGCTGTATCATGGGACACTAACTTGAAATTACAAGGGAGGCTTTTAAATGAAGGGTCAGTTTTGGAACTAATTCGGCTGTTCTTTTTATGTTTCAAAGTTTGCGCAGGGAAAAAGCAGATGATTTTCTGGATGACTTCAGTAAGTAAATATGCAGCTCAAATATCTTTTTGTGTAATTTTCTTTGTATGGTTATTATAATTATGATGACTGGTTAAGAAGTATGAAATGGTGGTAATGAAAGTGCAGGATGCATGTTTTCTAGCATTAGTGTTTGCTTTTTCAAGTCTGCATATGTGTGCAATTTAGGGCTGACCGTTCTATACACACCCTTTTTTTTAGTCAACACAACCACCATAATTGCTTGAAAACAGACAATAGCACTTAACTCAAGAACAGCACATATTTATCTTCCTAAAACATATTGGAGTCTGTAACATGAGGTCTGATATTTTATTCCTCGCTGATATTTTATTTCTTGATCAGAGAGTTTGCCTCTTAAATTTTTCCACTGCAACAAGAAAAGCATGCTAGTAAAAACATTACTTATGATTACTTTCATGTGTTTCACAATAACTGAGGTGCTGTTATTACTGATTTAATATAGTTAGTGCATCACCTTTTACTAGAGCCAATAGAAATATTTTCTGAAGTGTTTTTTCTAGTGTTAACTCTTGCACAAACTGTTTTTACCATTTTCTTAATGTTTTCCATTGTTTGAGATGAGCATCTCGCTCTACTTCCTGACTGTGTTCAGTCAGTGTTTTTTTTTTTCCCTATGTATTTGTATGTAAACAAATAGAAACTAAACTACTGTAAATGACTGCATGCAAGGAAACTGGTTTAATCTAATTTCTAACAATAGTTGTGCAAACTAAGTACTTTGAACGGATATGCTCTGTAATATGTCTGGGGCCAAACTGCACACAAGTTCACCTTAATATATCTAACAAAGATAGACATACTTTGCTTCTGAATCTCTTAGTGATATCCAGTTATTTCAATGAATTTATAAGCTTATGTTGTGGTTGGAAAATGTTTGAAGCCAACATTGGATTAATGTACTTAAACTGATTTTGGTGGATCTAGTCTATAGCATATAGCCTTCAAATGTAAACATTATTCTACCCCCAAGGTCATTAGTTTCAGCTTATAAAATGTCAGGATTTTTGTTTAAAACTATGCTTTATTTTAAAATGATATTGTACATCTTTATGCATTTAAATTTCTATATTTTGATCTCTTACAGTGAGGCTGTGTGTGTCTCGAAAATGGTAGTTCCTGGGAGTGCTCCTGTCATAGAGCAGGACCATGCCCTTGAACCTGACTTGGGGCGGGGCTCAACAGAGAATTCTGCAATGGGATCTGAGACAGAACCAGGTACTGATCAGGTGCACCCAGAATTGGAGGAGGTGCGAAAGCTGCAGGAACTAGTGAGAAGACTTGAGATCCAGAATCAGCAGCTGATAACTAGGAGCCACAGAAATGTGCTAGGGACAAATACACAAACAAACACTGGTGTGAATAATCATAACTCAGGGCTCAGTGGAATGGAAATTAACAATAGCATCAACACTATAACAGAGAAGCAAGAATTACAGATAATGGCAGATGTACATGACAAACTAAGTAAAATAAGAAGAGAGGTGAAAGAGAGTGACTGCTTAAAAAAAGATGTGGATATACAAATGCATTATAGCCGCCCTAGTATTACTGAGAAAGTGTCTCCCAACTCAAAATATATGAATGATGCAGAAATGCAGAATGATGTTAATGTCAGCTGTTCTTCAAGTCTGGATAGGAGTAGCAGCACAGAACTCGTGGAAGACTTAATCACCATAGGTATTCATCCATCTGTAAAAATGAGTGAACAGAATCCAAATGAAGAGAGTGGAGATTTAGGAAGCTTTTTGAATGATACTGCTTTGGATGAAGTGGAAGTGCTAGAACTTGGGAACTGCAGTGATGAAGAGGACAGCTGGTATGTATGTCAAAGCTCTGAGTATTATAAAGGTTCTGGAATGTAGACTACAGTTGGAATTCCCATGTTAAACATTATTCATCTGATTCCCTTTTAACATGGAACAGTGTACACTATTTTCATTTCTGGAGCTGGTATCAAGGTGTTAATGTTAGCTATTTGTTTACAAGAGTCCTGTGCCGGAATGAAATGAGCATAAACAGACTATTTCTATCCTTGACCATTTAGACTAACTACAATTGGTCTGAAATCAACAAGATGAAATTCAATAAAGCCAAGTGTAAAGTACTTCACTTAGGAAGGAAATAATCAAAGCACAACTACAAAATGGGGAATAACTGGCTAGGCAGTAATACTGCTGAGAAGGATCTGGGGGTTAGAATGTAGTTTCAAAAAAAAGCCAATATCACATGGGGTGTACTAACAGGAGTGTTGTATGTAAGACGGGAGGTAATTGTCCCGCTCTGCTTTTTGTTTTTTTGTGCATGCGTGTCAATTTCACTTTTCCTTGCTAAACAAGATAACATTCAGAACTAATTCCAACTCCTCAATAGTAGCCTTGACTTAGGCACATTGTGAGTTACTTCTATCTTAAGACTTCATTCACAGAATATTAGATATGTTTAATGTGGCTTTCTTACTGTTATGTATCTGCAAGTAGACCAGACATCAACACTGTAGTGTAGATACCTATTACAGAATATGTGCTCAGGGCAAAACAAACCCCTTAGAAATTAATGAGTTCTAAACAGAGTTTATACTTGTAAAAATAACTTAAGAAATATATAAACATTTTTGTTTGCATATCACTAGTATGGAGATGAACTTAGTGACATCAGTTACAGTTCGAATCTGAGATTTGATTATAAATATACAAGGAAATAATTATCTTTCAAATGACATGGCACTACTGTCTCTTCTTGCTAGTTTGAGGAGCGGAAAAGACTCCATCTAGTTAAAAAATACTTCTAATCTAATTTCTTCTTGCATTTCTCAGGTTCTTGTGTACTGGTGCAATGCTGCAATGTCTTTAAAAACTTTTCCATTGGTTATCTCCCTGTTGAAAATATTTTTGGTATCCTTAGCTTCTGTGAAACTTCTGTTTTATGAAGCCTAAACATTTGGCCAGTTTTAATTGTCACTTTATAATCCAACTGTCCACACCTTCAGAATGCCTAAAAACGTGTGATCAGATTTCTTAAAAATGAGAAACATTTATTGGAATGTGAAACTATTAAAGTTGTTTTTTTGTGGCACTTGTGGCAAGTGCTGAGTTAGGTGCATGTTTAGCAAATGGCACTTGGCAGTCAAGACCAATCAATGCAAGAAACGTTAACTTTAGTTGACTTCTTCACCAGGACAATATAGATCAGGCTCCACAGGCAAATGCATATAACAAAAATGAAAAGGTGCTACAGAGAATTATGTACATACACTCCAATATTAATGTTTATAAATCAGCATTGTGAAGTCCATTATGTAATGAAGGAATTTATCATTTTCAATTGGATACCAGTGTATGATCAAAATCTAACCTACATAAACAAGGAACAGTTAAAGAAGACAAATGTATGATTAACATTCACTTTTAAAGGGACTCACAGTTGCATATGAAAATTTTTTATCCAATCTAATTACAAGCAACATCTAAGATTACTATAACTGGAAGCAAATATGTTTATTTTTTCTCAGTGCAGTAGATGACAATTTGTGTTAACTATCAAGGTTACCCTCACCAAAACCTGTAAATATCCCATTGAACCTTTTTTAAGAAACAAACAAAAAACACATCTCTGACACCTCTGTGGGCTTTCAAAGGGTTCTTGTGTACTGAATATCTCACTTCTAGGGCTTTTTGTTTTTATTGTATTGGATTTATCAGTGTTTATTACTACAACGAAAACAGGTAAAATAGGTGCAAAAACTATTAATTTTTCTGGGTTAATATCAGGGTTTATTTTGGTGGACGGAAGGACAGGAAAAAATGTATTCAGCAGATTGAAGCTTTGGTGAACGGAACTCAGTGTGGCTTGCTGCAGAACTAAAACAGAACTCAAAAACAATGCCACCTCTGAGTTTAAGAAAACAATATATCTCTAATCCCCAAATAAAACTTTTCATTTGAATAAACAGTTCACTATTTAGATTTAGAACTATTAGCCTGTAAATATTTACATTTAATAATTGGGCCACACTGTTTGCAGCTCATACACTCAACTTCACCCTTTTCTCCTGCTTTTTTTTTTAAAAACTTTCCAATACTTCCTTGTGTTCTGAAACATATTCTGATACAGATTTTCATTTTCTTCCCAATTTAGTATGTCAGATCTTTAAACCATTATCTAACAGCTTGAAATGGGTGTGAGATTCATTAGTCGGTTCAAAGATTAATGTATTATTGTAAAACATATATCTCATGCAATGTATCGTCTTCCTAATAAAACAAGTTATTTTTTTACATATATTTGAATGATACAAAAGTAGGATGAAAATTGGGAGGGGAAAAAAGAATACTTTTTGTAAAACCTAAGATTTTTTCGGTAAAAGTCAGTTTAAATTAGGGCTGTTGATTAATTGCAATTAACTCATGCGATTAACTCAAAAAAATTATCGTGATTAATTGCAGTTTTAATAACACTGTTAAACAATAGAATACCAATGAAAAAGTATTAAATGTTTTGGGTTATTTTACATTTTCATATGTACTGTATTCTGTATTGTAACTGAAATCAAAGTGTATATTTCGATTACAAATATTTGCGCTGTAAAAATGATAAACAAAAGAAATAGTATTTTTCAATTCATCTCATATAAGTACTGTAGTGCAATTTCTTTGTCGTGAAAGTGCAATTTACAATTGTAGATTTTTTTTTTTGTTACGTAACTACACTCAACCAAAACAATGTAAACTTCAGAGCCTAAAAGTCCACTCAGTACTACATCTTATTCAGCCAATCGCTAAGACAGACAAGTTTGTTTACATTTACAGGAGATAATGCTGCCCTCTTTTTATTTACAATGTCACCAGAAAGTGAGAACAGGCATTTGCATGGCACTTTTGTAGCTGGCATTGCAAGGTATTTACATGCCAGATATGCTAAACATTCGTATGCCTCTTCATGCTTCGGCACCATTCCAGAGGATGTGCTTCCATGCTGATGACTCTTGTTTAAAAATAAATAAATAAAGCATTAATTAAATTTGTGACTGAACTCCTTGTGGGAGAACTGTATGTCCCCTACTCTGTTTTACCTGCATTCTGCCATATATTTCATGTTATAGCAGTCTCAGATGATGATCCAGCACATGTTGTTCATTTTAAGAACACTTTCACTGCAGATTTGACAGAATGCAAAGAAGGTACCAATATGAGATTTCTAACGATAGCTACAGCTTTCGACCCAAGGTTTAAGAATCTGAAGTGCCTTCCAAAATCTGAGAGGGACGAGGTGTGGCGCATGCTTTCAGAAGTCTTAAAAGAGCAACACTCTGATGTGGAAACTATCGAACCTGAACCATCAAAAAAGAAAATCAACCTATTGCTGGTGGCATCTGACTCAGATGATGAAAGTGAACATTCGTCCCTCTGCACTGCTTTGGATCGTTATCAAGCAGAACCCGTCATCAGCAAGGACACATGTCTTTTGGAATGGTGGTTGAAGCATGAAGGGACATATGAATCTTTAGCACATCTGGCATGTAAATGTCTTGCAATGCCAGCTACAACAGTGCCATACAAACATCTGTTCTCACTTTCAGATGACATTGTAAACAAGAAGCGGGCAGCATTATCTCCTGCAAATGTAAACAAACTTGTTCATCTTAGCGATTGGCTGAACAAGAAGAAGTAGGACTGAATGGACTTGTAGGCTCTAAAGTTTTACACTGTTTTATTTTTGAGTGCAGTTATTTTTTTTTGTACATAATTCTACATTTGTAAGTTCAACTTTCATGATAAAGAGATTGCACTACAGTACTTGTATTAGGTGAATTGAAAAATACTATTTCTTTTGTTTTTTACAGTGCAAATACTTATAATAAAAATATAAAGTGAGCACTGTACAGTCACTGTACAATCAATATATTTGAAAATGTAGAAAACATCCAAAAATATTTAAATAAATGGTATTCTATTATTAAACAGTGCAATTAATTGCGATTAATTTTTTAAATCACTTGACAGCCCTAGTTTAAACTGAAAACGAAGGGGCTTACTCACTTGTAGAAATGCCGCCAACGTGGGGGAAGTGCAATAGGTATGTAGATGACCATGTTCTATTTAGTACGTGCTTGGTCCTCAACACTCTAGAACCTACCTCACAAACTTTAATGATTGTTTTCCTCCAGTGCTCCTGTGAGATAGAGAAGTATTATTACATGTAGGCGAACTGAGAGAGAGAATTAAATGACTTTTTTCCAAGGTTGCATATTTGAAATAAAACTGGGACTCTGAACCTAGGTTTCCAGAATCCTAGTCCAGCATTTTCAGCACAAGACTACCTGGTTCATCTGAATGTGTGCTTATGGACCTAAACAACAGGTAGGTCTGACTTTGTTCCTGTAAACAGTGACATATATGCTTTTAAAGACACAAAGGTGTGCTTCTTTCAAGTAGAATAGAGGAATAAGTGTCACTAAAAATACTGCTTCTAAAACCCCTTAACAGATCTGACTTTGCTTGTAAAACAGGGTGGATTTAAAAAAAAAATTTGATATTTTTACTTTTGTTCTTTGAACTATGTTTAAAACGAAATCTGAATTTAACACAAAGCATGTCAAGGCCTAACCTACTTATAATATCTCTTTAAAAACAAACAAACATGCTGAAACCATGAGCCTCTATCAAAAACTATGAATTAAAGCCTGCTTTTCTTTCTAAAGAAAGATATTTTCCCCCTGACTCTTAACTTTTGAGGTTAAACTTTATAAATATGGCACAATAGGGCAGCCTAAATAAGTTAGGAGACTGTTACATTTTCAAGAGATTTAAGCGAGTATGA